CTCTGAACCAAAAACTTCCTGTGTTATTAAATGTATCCCAGTATAGACTCAGTCTTACTCTTTTTGTTTCTCCCTAACTGAAATAAATGAGTTGGTAGAGTTGAAACAGACAACATGCATCGTTTTTTTTCTGGGTTGAACAAACACAAGATAAGGTCTCAGAGCTACAAATAGGTCTGTACATGCTCAGTTCTACCTAATGTCTCATGAGCTGTAGGCACAACTACCCAATGCAACAGTGTTGTTCATTAAAGGTGATGTATGCATTTTGTATGTCATTGACAATGTCATTGTTATTGTAAATTATTCCTAATAAGTGGCTCAAGTGAGCATGGTGCAGGGGGTTTATTGTGAAACATAAAAAATCTTTGTTATTCACCATTTGGATGAAATAAATTTAGAGTGCCATTAAAAGGGTCCTTGACACCAGAGGTCCTGAGTGGTGTGATATACACTGCAGTGACAGTAAAGATTCATAACAGATGAGATAGTTCAAGGTTAGATTACTGATATGGCAAAGCAGGCAACTGCCCAGAGGCTCCAGATTCTCCGGAGCCTAAAACCCCACTTTTTAATATGTAGTAATAGAACACAAAAACAAAACCAAGAGGGCCATTACCACTTTTAATGCGGCGAGTTGTGCCAAATCACGCCCGAGATGGACCTTCTTCAGAGTAGGACCAAAGCGTACCTGTGACATGCAAGCCTCTACTGTACAGGAGAGCAGAAAGACAGACATTTTAAAAAATATTTTTGTAGCTTCTGAGCTATAGAAAAACCCTTGAACAGAGCTGGCAAAATAAGAATGCTGATGATTGGCTTATGCTAAAGGGTTGATTAAACAGAAGGGAACATGATGGAGAAAACTCTTAATCTCTAGATATGAGGTGTCTATAGGTGTATTTTCTCAAACTCAAAAATACTGAAAATACAATTGCACATATCTGATTTCAATGCAGGTTTGTTGTTGGATTGCATCTCATTGTGTTGCAGCAAAAACTAGTAATCTCATTGAAATGAATGAGGTGCCATTTTTTGTGGCAGTTTTATAACTGTTTGGATGCAACTTACAGGCAACTGCACACTCAATTTGCATTTGCGTTGCTGCTAAAACTAGGCTGTAATGCCTCATTGAAATCTTGTAATAACGAGGTGCCATTTTGTCAGTGGCTGATAGTATAAACATGTCTGCGAGGCAAGGCTTACAATGGCACATGAAGTATGTTCAAGCCTTGATAACTGATAAGGTATATTTTTTACTTTTTCTACCATCTGCTATTACCAGAGAAAATCTCTTCACAATGACTGTTTAGAGTAATTACATTCATTTCTAAATTACTGATTTATTGATTGATTCTGGTACACCAGGATCACACTTTAAAAAAAATTTTAAAAGCCCTTTCTCCCAAATTCAAAAAATACATTAGAACCTAAGAAACAAAAAGGCATTAAGCAAAATAGAAACATACAGAAATAAACATCCATAAGCCCAAGTATCTTAAAGGCACATTTCACGATTTCTGCTCTTATGAAAGTGGTGGAGAGCAAAAACGCGGGTAATCTTCACTCTTTATAAACAGGAAGCTCATTATCCAGACAAACCAAAGATAGTTCTTAAAGTTCATAATCAGTTAAACCACAATTCTATATGGAAGCAATGTCAAAGTCCACCGCCCACCCCCCTATAAATGTATGTGTTGTTATTCCACTAAATGATTACAGTATGCAGACAGAAATTACTATTAACATGCCAAACTCCACATAACGCTAACTTAGCCTCAGGCCTTAATCAACATAATGAAGAGGTGTACAATGACGGTTGGACTAACAACACAACTGGAACGCCAATAACTTTGCCGGCTGGATTGAATAAATGTATCTGGGTAGTGTGCAACCCACTCACAGCACCGTCACATGAAGTACTGGATTTTCTCTGGAAGAAGGAAAATAACTTCTGATGAAATGTACACATAATTGACTGACTCAAAAAAAGTGAGAAGAAGTTGGTGTTGCATGTTTGAAAGTGTTGATAATGCATTTGTTAAACCTGCCCCCTCCTTTTGTTCCACACAACTGCAGAGCCTGTTTCCTAATGAATGAAGTGTGATGCTAACATCACAGTGAGGGAGAGACAGAGGAGGTACCATAGAGGAGACAGGACAGGGGGGGCTGATGGTTGACTTTATCATGAAGAATAGAGTGCTGTCTGATGATAAGACCATATGCCTAATGCCATAACAAATGCTCTGGCTACCACAATATTTAATTTCATAAGAGTGCCTGTGTGGGACAGGAAGTGTGCTTCTCTTTTGGGTGATGCTGTGCACTATTAAAAGCCTGTGCAGTTGTCAGGCTGTGGATCACTCTCCTGCTGATAGGCTGCTGCGTATTCCTCAGCCAAGACAGACCAGGGCTTGTGTTGGCTAATGTAAAACATTAGCAATATCCTGAGTCAACAGTCCCCCTCTCTGTTTGTTTGGATATCGCATTTCCCTGGCAACTGAGTATATTGTCCAGGGTACACTGGATCCCGGTGGAAGGTAAAAGCAGCGCACTTCCTTGCTAATTGGTTGACCGAGAGAGACCACCAGTGGAGCCTGAAAGTTAATTTGACACGTAAGTAAATAGAGTTACAGGGAAGGGAAGAAGGCCAGGCTGTTATTGTTTGCACACTGGGATGAGAGGTGGTGCCAGACAGAGAAAAAGTAACGGGCATCAACCCACGCTGATCACTGCAAGTTGTTACTGTGATGCTAAAAATTCCCCCTTTATCTTTACAGGTTACAGAAGCAAAGAACAACATTTGGCTGTTGCATGCTTGAGGCTTAAACAAGACTTGAACAGCTGTGCCCACTGACTCATTTGGAGCAATAGTCTACCAACAGAAATCGGGAGCCCAGAACTTCAGTAGACAGGAATGCAGAGTGTAATGCTGTCATTGAGTTTCCAGTGAACAGAGGGTGGTGATGGTTGGGGATATTTTCATTAGCGACGGGGTTTGGAGGAAGTGAGGGAGTTGGAGAAAATGGGCCTCGGTTTACAAGGTTCAGTTGTTTATCCAACAATTTTTCTTGCATAATCACCCTGGTGAGCCATCTACTGCATTAGCTTGTGATGTGATACATTTTGTGTGAAGAGTTTTGGAAAGTGTATCCCAAACTCATTACCGGTAATCAGAGGCACTTATTTAAGCTGCGCTGGCCAATCCAAGAAAAGCATCATGAACCATTTACTTTTGGATTAAAGGTTCTTTAATTCTAAATGTGAAATCAGAGCCAATTATGCTCAGATTTCTCCTTTAATTGAAGTTAAACATTGAAGTTACATTTTGCTGCACTCTGATACATACACACTACTGTAACCCTGCTAGTGTTTCTCTCTTAATATCATGGCTGTGTGCGGCAGAAAACCATTCAAATATATGATCATTTCCGTCACTAATGCTATTTTACGGTACTTATACTGTCATAACAGCCATCACTTTCCATCTGTCCAGTTGAACACATTATCTGACAGTTTTCTCTGTCAATTAAACAGTTTAAAAGGTTTGCTTGGAACTGCCCTCTCATAGTCATCATAGCAGCAATATCATAATGCAATAAAGACAAAATTTTATTAAAAATTAACCAGTACTTACCCCTAATACATAATATCAGGAATTTTTTGTAAATTTAAAAAGGTTATTGATTACCCCTTATGTTGTCAGCATGAAACAATCTTTCATGTAAAGAAAATTTTAAAATGTTATTGATAACAAACATTATACTGTACCCAACCTCTGATCTAACCACTTAGACCAGACAGACACTGTGAGGATTAAGCCTAATTTTATCCCCCGAATGGGTAGAATCCCTCTGGATTCCCACCATATCGGCTGCAGTTGCAATGTCTGATAAACTGCCTGGAAATCTGCCGGTTAGATGATCAGATGGATCTCAGGTGTCTTGAAGTTTGAGCAGTTCCACACTCTGATTTACAACATGTTGCTAACTGTAGTCTTGACTGAGACTGCACTGTGTTGCAGGAAGAATCAGTTCCTTTCTCTTTTTTGGTCCACATTTTAGTGTGGTGAAGGTGGTGACCTTGTATGAATAAAACATTGGAACTGTTGATGGGAAAGAGATTTGAGGTTTTGTGTGAACAACCATGACGTGGTCAATCAAACTGTACTACATGGACCATGACCTTGGAAATTGTACATTTTGGCTGTTCAGAATGCATACTTAAAACATGTAATGTAACTATACACAGCATAGAAAATTAAGACCCTTTAGAGCTTTAGATGCCATGGGGATATTAAGAAGTCTCGTAACACAGACCGAGAAAGATAATGATGTAAATATACCCTGAATCTGTGGGAATGTCATCGCCACTTGTGGCAGCATCGTTTCCCAATGCAGCCCTGTCTAAACTATACTGTCTTTCTTTATTCTATGATATTCTGCTGTAAAAAACCTTTGTGAGCTAGGTAATCATGTAATGTAGAACCTCTGACAGTAAAATGTTATGAAATAAAGTTCTCATGTAGGTTCATGCTGTGTTCTCCCCTCTGTTTTCAGAGACCAAAGATAATCTGTCTGATCTGCTTTCTGTCCATGTCACTTGGCAGTTATTTATGGCTGCTGGCTGGAGTTATGACAAATTTGATATCAAGATATCGTCCAGACCACAAAAAAACCCCCTTGATATTTGCATCAATAAGGAAAAACAGCTGCTCTGCACTGAACACTTAACTTGAGGGAATATCATTATTTATGTTTCTCAACAATCCTGTGCTTCCAATATTTTGTTTTCTTCTCATTCATGTTCAGTGATGTCAAAAATGTCTTCTCTGGAAACAGTTAATTACGTCTAGAGTCCAACCAGGACAAAGTAAATGATTTTAATTCAGAGTGGGACAAAATTCTGCATGTAATGATCATGAGTACCTTTACCTCATCTACTGCATTTGTGTGCAGCATACTTTCCTGAGTGCATTTATACTGTCTCCGTCCCTGCAGATTGCATCTATAAAGGCAGTCTAACTGCAGTGAATGCACTGCGTGACTGAGTCTACTCAGCGCTGACACAGCATCCGAGTGATGGAAAAGACAAGTAAGTGGACGGGCGCCATAAACAACGAAAAGCGGTGGCCTCAATCAGAAGCCATTCATTTTCGACCGCTGCACTGCGTTTATTTCATTTCCTGTCTCACTTTGTCTTCGCAGTGGGAATAATGGGCAGGGTAATAAGACGGGACTGGGATAATGGGAGATTCTGGCCTCTGCCTCTGTAATGAGACTGTGGGATCTGCGCTGGAGGAGAGGGAGAGAGGTATGCCAAATGCTGGAAAAACCACAACCATGGAGATACTGAAAGCTGTTGAATGCTGGTGTTAGCTTGTTATTGTTACACAGGCAGAGAAAATGAGGATTGATAGTGTACTCAAGTTACTGTGTTGTGTATGACTTGAGAACAAAATGACGTAAATATCTCTTTCACATTTGACACTGAAGTGTGTGTGAGCAGAATTTAGAGGGGAAAACCATGAAAAGAAAATCCTTATCTGAGCCTATGTTAGTTTGACCTTTTGTAAGAATGTTTGTCATGTGTTGGAGCACATGAGCAACTTCATTAATAGATGCAAAACAGACACACACACACACACACACACACACACACACACACACACACACACACACACACACACACACACACACACACACACTAGAGTGGTGTGGAGCCATTTCCAGGCAGGACTATTCATCTTCATGAATAAAATGAATGAGCTCAGCAATCCACAGAATTATTTTTATGAATGGACATTGAGAATTGGATGACTGTGAAATGGATTTTTCATTTAATTAAATCAAATAGCTGTCTGCCATGAGAGCTTTATTAGAGTGCCATTTCGCCAAGCTCACAGGAAAAACACTTCACATGGCACAGTGACTCTTTGTCCAGCAAACAAGGCAGAAAAAAAGGATATTTTCCACAACTTGAAGTCACTTGCCCTTCTAATAAATCAACTTTCTTTCCTAGTGGGGACCTGTGGCCTCGCAGTGCTGTATCTCGTTTCACTGCTTGTTTTTGTATAAATAGACTTTTTTTGAGCAAAAGAGTGCATGCATGCATTTCTCCAGAGGCAACCATTTTCATCAAAAAACCGCGATGTTTGGATGTATAGGTTATAAATGTACAGGTTTGTAAAACTACCCCCATGCAATTACAGTGGTGGTCTGTTTCCTTATAGGGATATTTGTGATGTGACCTTGAGTTCCCTGCCCGTGCAGTATGTGAATCCTTACGCCGTGTGTGTATAAATGAGAATATGTGGCCCCAAATTCTCTCCATGTGGGTCTGATTAACACAAATAAGAGGGGGAAAGCGAAGACCCAGTGTCTCGTGGCAAGTGTCCCACAGTGAGTCCCCACCCAGCCACCACAGGCCTCAGGGAGCAGGGAACACCCAAGATGGCACCTTCCTGGGGTGTAGCGTATCTTCAAGCCAGGCAGAAAATTTCTAGCAACCTCAGTAGTCTTACTTTAACTTTAACTTATTAGTTATAATACAGTATGACTATGAAGGTGAGGTCAAGTCTAAGAAATTGGAGGTCAAGTCCCAAGTCAAGACCATCAAGTCAAAAGCCAAGTCCAGGAAGTTTGAGGTCAAGTCAAGGACAACAAGTCCGGGCAAATCAAGTCCAACAAGCCCTATCACAAGTTTCAAGTCCCGAGTCAAGACCAACCAGTCTCAAGTGAAATCCAAGGTCAATAAATCTCAAGTCAGGACCAATGCATCCTGAGTCAACACCATTAAGTCAAGTCACAAATTAACACCAAAGTCCCAAGTTAAGACCAACTAATCCCAAGTCCAAGTTCTTAACAAGTCATTTTGTGCTCTTCACTCAATTTAATTTAGTTTTTAAAGAAAATGATTGGTATGTAAGTCCTGTGACAATGTTTGAGGTTGGATTGCATTATATCAACTCTGAATCGAATTTCAACATCTCTTATTGAATTTCTTTTTCTTCTTCTTCTGTTGTACTCGTAACAAAAGGGTAAGTGGGGCAATCCGATTCATTGCACAGTTCTTTGTAACATAATTCGACATTTTTAGACGTCAGAATGGTAGTAAAATAGTGTGGAGTCCATGTGATGTGACTCGAGTCCACACCACTCCTGTAGCTCTATCCTATTTGCTCCCTGCAGACACTGAGCTCACAAACAAATTCTTCAATTCTCACTCTATGTTCACATAACCTAATCAGGAGCTTAAATAGTTTGCCAAGTAGCCAATGTAACTGAAATACCAGCGCATATTTTAATCCTGTCAGAATTCAAGTGACTTTGTTTAATCCTTTCGTGTTGTCAGGGAGAAGCCAAGCCCGGCTGTAGCGTGACAACACCTCTGGAGATACACCGATATCTCTAGATTTCTCTTCCTCTTTTTTTCTCTTGGACATGTTGGTTTTCTTAAACATGCAATCACATTCCACAGCAGGATTAGACACATTTGTTCTAGTTTGTATTTTCATCTACATTCACAGACATCTGACTGCGGGATCTCATTGATAAAATGCTTCTGTCTGTCACCATGAGTTTTGTGTCGCCTTCGTGCTTCTGATCCTCGGAGGATCCATGGTAGAGGACAGGATGGAGGGAAAGAAGGGGGAGGTGGTGGAGTTGATATGAAGAGGAAGACAGGGAAAGAAGGAGAAAAGAATGCGTGAAGGCCACATGTTTTGACAAATATTGTGTGCTGGTGTGTGTCGTACCAGATACAATCAGGGGACTTGAGCCTCTGCCAAGTAGCTGTATCACGTAAATCAGTGCCGTATGAGACTCACAAGATTAGAAGAGCAAACATCCCATAAATTCCAGTCCAGGATGACACCATGTGTGTTGAGAGCAGGAAAGAAAAAAGAAAGAAAGAGTCCAATACTGCTTTTTTTTTTCTGCTGTAGAGTTACATTTTTGCATTAATCTGACAGCTCATTACACTGAACCCTCTCTTCCTTTACTTGTAATCTCTAAATCGGAAATCACTGGAGGGATTGGAAAAATGGAAAGTGCAGACTAATAATTTGCATAAGTCAAGCAAGACCTTCGGGTGAAAGACAAGAGGGATAAAGAAAAAACAGTAGGGGGAAAAATAAAAAAAGTCTGAAACCGTGTGAGGAGAGGGTGGCTGGAGGTGGTTTCCAGGGAAATGAGGCCATATCTGATTCTCTCTGCTGACAAACATGCTGCCAGGTTGAGGCCTGTTCTTAGGCAAGACCCACAGAAGCCACATCTCTCTCCCTCTCTCTCCGTTGTTATTTGAGGGTTTTCTTGGCAGTGTTCAGGCACAGGATGCAGGCCATTTGCTGCAGGAAAGTATAACCGCATTGTCTGAGCTCGGACGGCCTAATTGCCCCACAACAAACAAAATGTAAACTGAGGCTGATTATAATTTGAGCCCTGGGCCACAGTCTACTGATTGTAGAGGGGGCCTCCAGCGTCTATTTCATTAAGTCCCCGGGGCCAGCAGACTAAAGGCTAGGAGCTCTTATGGATATATATTTACCCACATTTCTTGTGGTGAGTGGTCAAGCGAGCTTAGATCCAAAAGGAAGGTCTCTTTTCATTCCTCGCAGCCCAGCAGTAAATAAGTATGTAACACAAGCGCAGGCACACAGACTGTAATAATCCAGCCGCAGTGTGCTATGCACCGCTGTGTGTCCGAAGGCAGAGGTGACACAGTGAAAGAGAACAGTCCGTGGCCCAGTTTCAACCCGGCGCAGTGATCCAGAGCAGTGGCAGCTTTAGCTTCAGCTGTCTGGCTTCATTGCTTCCACATGTCCTCTGCTATTAATGAACAACATCCCGGACGTCAAAGAAACACTTCACACATCTTTTCTTTGTTTCTTTCCAACAAGGATTAATGGTGTCCTAATGTGTTTGCACAGTGTCCCAAAAAAAGCAAACACTTCCCCCATCATGGCTCCTGTTTTGAGCCGATCGAGATTCCCATCTAAGCCTTGGACTGTAGAGCAGACAGTGAAAATAAACTAGATGTACAAACGTATATGACCGTTTGTACATCTAAGATCTGTTTGCAGATGACAATAATGGAATAAATCAATTTATCAGTCAGAATGTCACTAAACTTTAATCACATGCTATTGCACTTTGTATGATTTTTCAAGTTAGAAGAGTCTATTTTTTCAAATGGCAGAAGTGTAATCTTAAGTTTCTTTTGAGAAATAGGACTGTTGCACTAAACTGTTGCTGACTGAATATTATTTAGCTCATTCCCTGGGCCAGTGTCAGCCTTCTGAATATGGTAATTTTAGTGACACTGTAGCGTGCATGTCACTGTAAATAAAAGAGAATATGGCTTCAATAACAGTTTTGCATTACTGGGAGGAGTTGAGGCCAGTTGGAAGTAGCATCAGCTGCTAACGCTGGCATTCCTGACTGATGACTGCTCCTCTCAGTAACCTTACCGGCAGCACCCACGTCACCTTCTTAAAGGAATAGTTTGTCATTACTTGCTTTCTTGCCAAGACGCTGATGACAAAACTGATACCACTTTTATGTCTGTATGGTAGAAATGAAGCTAGAGCCAGCAGCTAGATAGCCTATCTTAGAGAGAGCACCTCTAAAGCCCAGTAATTAGGATGTTATATCTTCTTTGTTTAACTGTACAAAAATCAAAGTTTAAAAACAAGTTGGTGTAGTGCAGGTGAACCTCCTGGAGCTACAATGTCACCAGGCAACCAGTGGAGACTCCAGACAACATATTAATTAGTAATCTTTATGGGTGTGGGTAGGTGGATTTTGTTACCTATAGACAGAACCAGGCTTGCTGTTTCTCCTTTTTCCAGTCTTTATGTAACCTAACTGCGTTAGATGGTTTGTTACACAGAACCATCTGGGAATTCATCATCTGAAACTGTTTGGAAAAGGCAAGGTACTTTCAAAAAATACTTGGCAGGTGATTGGATGAACCGTCTGTGTATCACCGTCTATGAACGAAGCTAGCAGGAGAGAGGCAGGTCCTGCACACAGGTTTGAGGCAACGGGGTGCAGAAAGAAAGTAAGTTGCATGGAAAGATCTGGTTTTCACAGCTGTAGCAAGTTCTTATGAAGAGGAATTGGGGTATGTTCTGCTTCTGTAGCAGTGTAGCTTAATCTCTTACTCAGTTTTCAAATACATATCTGTTAATCTGTACACAGACGGAAAGAAATACCTAAGTGATGTATTTGTCTATATCTGTGATATAATAACATTGTAGTGTAGTTGCAGAATTTACACTCCCGACCTATGGAGGACATGTACCAGCCAGTGAGGTCCTCTTCTGTTAGGGAGGGATGATGTTTGCAGATCATGTCACACAAACTGTCACGTTTGGATGAAATGCAGAGAGAGAATTTTAAGTGGGGTGACGGTGAGAGTGAGAGAAGAGAAAAAGAGACTGCAGAGCAGAAAACACAGCAGCTCAAAGTACTCCTCACTCAGAAGCTTGTCTCTGAGCCCCCCCCCCCGCTCACTCTCCCATTCTCTCGGGGGGTTATTATTGTTAATCATCTTATTACTGAAGCCATAGTGAATCCCAGGTTCTGGGCCAGATGAAAGGTCAGCCGCTGAGCTGCGCAGACACCGAGCCGTCAACAGATCAAAGCCGATGCTCTCTGATGATCCTACACCATGTCGCTTTGATACTGTAGCGCACAAAGAAGCGTAGGCTTTGGCTGGATGACAAAGTTTGATCGCACTTTTCAACTGATACCTTTACC